AACAGTGTTAACACTGCTAACACTGGTAACAGTGCTAACACTGCTAATGCTGCTAACACTGGTAACAGTGCTAACACTGCTAATGCTGCTAACACCACTAATGCTCCCCTACAAGGCATCACATTTGCAGTTTCTGCCGGTGTCTGAGCTGCACTTCAAACTCTGACCTCAGGTAACATCTGCATCATTTTCAACGAACACATTTTGAATTTAGATTTGAAATACCGTCTTCAGTAGCGTCAGTGGTGCAAGCAGCTTTAGTGGTTGTTTATTTAGCAGGATGACCATAGCTAACGGTGCTAACTATGGCAAGTTCTTGAAAATGATATAGATAGTACTTGTTAAATGTAAACTTCAACATTTAACTTTTACATTTAGATTTAGGATTTAATATTTTCAAAGGTTATTTAACATATAAATTCAACATTTAGTAAATCTTACCTAAATGCAGCAGTGAGCTAAATAATCAAATGTTACACTCAGAAATTTAGCTAATAAAATATGTTACTGACATTTTTTAACATTTTATTTTACATTTGGGACCTTGTAGTAGCAGCTATCTTGAATTGGGTTGACTCCATTAGTWGGTCAGTTGTAATTGAACATTTAGAGTTTCATTAAAATCTATCCTGTGGTTCGTGAGATATTTTACTAATTGTCAAATACACATAGACAGGTCATTACATAATCACAATTTTATGACAGCAGGACATTTAGAAAGTAGGAAAAAAATCAGTATTTATTGGCTAAATTGATAAATGACTCTGATCTATGAAAGCGATCAGGAATCAGTTGGACTCTCGATGTCCTTGATTCAATATTCTCGACTCATTTCAACAATTTTCCTAATTATAGAGGCTAAACAAATTTAAAGGCCAGGGCTTTTACATAAAGCCCAAACTGGACTGGATTCTGTTTACTGGGAGGTAAAGAGGGATCTTCTGAACACATGAAAACACAAGGGCGAAATGTTCAGAGGAATTATCTCTTTTAGGAAGTTTGTCTGAAGCCCGGCCCGTTTGGGCTGCTGGTTCAAAACAAAGGAAATTACAGCCCGAGGGCGCAGAACGCAGCCGAAGCACACCACTGTGTCGATTGAAGCGGTGAACCGCAGAGAGGAAAAAGAAACAATTACAATAATGAAGGTGGTTCCGGACTACACAATTACTGTGGTGGATTTCTCTATTTCTGTAACGCACCATAAAGCGGGCCTCTGGGAGCAGATTGGGTTTTTATTTCATTGTGTAAAATTCAAGAGGTGCGTTTAGATTAAACTGTAAAGTGCTGAGTAATGGTTCAGAGCTTCTGCAGCTGCTTGCAGTTGTTGCTCAGAGAGACCGTGTCGCTGTCTTCAGTCTGCAGGTGAAAACTGCAGGAAGTGATTAAACTCTGTGGAACTCCCTTCAGGTTACATCGAGGAGGCGTGCATCATCCCCTGTCCGTCGGACTGTAAGCTCAGCGAATGGTCCAACTGGTCGCGCTGCAGCAAGTCCTGCGGGAGCGGAGTGAAGGTTCGATCCAAGTGGCTCCGGGAGAAACCCTACAACGGGGGCCGGCCGTGCCCAAAGCTGGACCACATCAACCAGGTACCCAGATGGAACATGGCCGGTCTGAGTCTGAGAGGCAGAATAAAGGAAGAAGAAATTAATGCTTTTAATCAACTCAACAGGTTTTATTAGGAGATTCATGAGCTGTAGTATTTTTAAAAATAATTTATAGATCAAAATATCAAACATGTCGATCAAGAATAATCTGGCTTAGAGTTTAATCTCTGTAACTTTTGAATTATTTAACTATACAAACAGAAATATCCCAACAAAAATAACACTTTCTTGGCTTTCTTAAGCTCGTTAGCACTTTTAGCTTCTGTCCTGTTCATTTTACCTTCTAGCAGAGGTTCTGAGAATCGTAACTTTTAGCTATGCTTTTGCTCAATTTAGCGTTTGGCTGTGGTTTTGATAATTGGTTTAAGAAGCAGTTTTGGTAAATTTAAGTTTTAACTGCAGTTTTGTTACCTTAGCATCTAGCTATGGTTTTGTTATTTTTAGCATTCAGCTATATTTTGGTATTCGTAGACTTTTGCTACTGTTTTGTACGTTAACATTTAGCTATGGTTTTATTGTTTTTAGTTTTCAGATACAGCTTTGTTATTCCAAGACTTTAGCCTCTTTTTTGTTTATTTTAGCTTTTAGCTACGATTTTGCTCATTTGAGTTTCTGGATAGTTTTGTTACCTTAGCATCTAGCTATGGTTTTGTTATTTTTAGCATTCAGCTATATTTTGGTATTCGTAGAC